TATCGTCAATAAATCAAAAAACATCGTCAAAAACTTAGATACCACGTTTTTTATAATTTATTGTTTCTTGAATAAAGGACTAATAAAAGTTTAAATATAATTAAGTTTTTCATTTAAATGGTTGATGTTTTTATTCAATTTTTCTATTTCAAGTTTTCCAATAAAAGATAAAACAAAAAAATTTGGTTTAATAAATCGAATTATACTTCATGTTTAAAAACGTTAAAGTAAAAAAATTGCTGGTTTTTATTAGCATATTTATACTGTTTGAAAAAAAAAAAACTAATAAAAAAGAATTAACTAATAATATATTAATTAATAATTATATATTAATTCTTTTTTATTAGTTTTTTTTTTCAAACAGTATAAAAATGCAAATAAAAGTCAGTAATTTTTTTGCTCTAACGCTTTTAAGCCTTATTTTAAACATGAAGTTTTGATAAACAAAGATAAAAACCAACTTTTCAACTTTTCGCTTTAACGACCTTGTAAAAATATTCCACGCAGAGATTTAAAGTAATTTAAATTCAAAAATGTTTTACGTTGAAAGAAAATCTCCGCGCGAAAGAGCAAATCATCTATTCATCTATCTATTCAGAATAATAATTTTTGTGTGACATTCTTTATGATAAAAACATTACTTTTAAGAATTGCTAAAAAAAAATGCTAAGCTAGAAAAAAAGTAATTAATCAACCAAAAAAAAAACGAGTCGCGAAAAGATTTTTTTTAAGAGAAAACTAATCACAAAAGTGTGTGTTGCAATCGCGATCGCGATACGTATAATACGAGCCCTGTAAGACTTTTTTATAAGTTCTAAACTATTTAAAACTATTACTTATAACTTTTTTTTAACGACGTCTTTCAACCGAATGCTATTATACTGTTTTTGCAAAACTAATTAAAAAAACTTAACTATTTAATCACGACTTTTTTTTACTTGAGATATTCTAAAGTTGTTGTGACGTACTAACGTGATTTTTAACGACTAACAATCGAGTTTCAACGGTGAAAAAATAAAATCAAAATGGAGTTGTTTTTTAGTGATTTCGGCAATTGCTTTTTGTTAGCATGCATTTATTATTATAATTTAGTGAAAAAGAAAAAAAACTTACATATTTTTTTTTTATGCTCTTTCATATGAGATCATATGTTAGGAGCACTTAGGGATCCCTTTAATAAATCTTCTTCTATTTCTATTTCCTCTCTCTCGTTTTCTTTCTCTCTCTCTCTCTCTCTCTCTCTCTCATCTCTCCTTTCTTCTTTCTCTCTATTGTATTATTTTAGTATGAATATAAGTTTGAAATTAAATATTTTATAAATTAAATGATCATTATGTAAATACAATTTATAATAACTAATATCATTTTCTTTTTATGTTTAATATATACCGATAAAATTAGTTTTATCAATTATGAGTTTTGACGTTTAATAAACGTTGATCTGTTTATTGGGTCTTATCGAGATATATATTAATATTTTCCTATTATTTGTATAATACATTGTAATAAAAATTAAAAAACGAATTATTTTTCAACATTTTTTATATAAAAAAATATTTTTTTATAGAATTAAATTGCTGCTGACCCTCAGGCTTAAAATAACAAAGCACTGGCTGTGGTTTTGTAAACAAAAAAAGAACATTAACAATACTAGGCACACATACTAATTGAGTATAGCCAAATTTTTTGACATTAAAAATTTAGATGATTTGATAATAATAATTTGACGTGGAGAAAGTTAACAATCATAAAAATTAATAAAAAATATTATAATCCATCCATAAATATACTAGAATCATTAAAAAATGTAATCTCAATTTATTTATAACAAACACAAAAATTAAAACTGAAATTTGCATCTGATACATCAGATCATTTTCCAATATATAATGCAAGTCAAAAAAAAAACTCGATTCTCAAAAAGTGAAAATAACAAAACATATAATCAATGTTACTTATGAATTTTGTAATCAATATTTATTTTCTGAAAACTGTAAATAAATCTTAAAAATAAATAGCTCGAACAAAGCATGTGACAGTTTTGTTTTGATATTTCAAAAACCTTTTAAAAATTCATTTCCGAAGAAAAAGAAAATCTTTTAACCAAACACATTTGAAACATGAATTACTGAATATTAAAATTATTGAAAAAACGTTTCTATGAAAACTTTTTTTAAAAGAGAACACTTGATCATGGATCTAACTATAAAAAACTTAAAGATGTTTTTGAGTAATTTTTTGTTCTAAGAAAATGTATTACACTATCCAATTACATTTAAAATGAATTCAAAAGGAATAAAAATAAAAATAAAGATAATAAATAAAAACTTATAAAGTCATTACTTTTCAGTCATATTTTAATTGAGTTTTCTCCTTTAGTATTCCTGAACTTCAAGCAGTTCAGGAATATTAGCTAGCTATGCTGCTAGCATGTTACAGTTGTCCAGATGCTTCTAAAATTCTCATAAACACTTTAAAACGTTCAAGAAACTTTCAGAACTTTCGAGAAACTCTCAGAACTTTTTAGAACGTTCTTGAACATTCCAAAAGTAGCTGTACAAGTATAAAAGTAGAGGTATCTAAGGTAACTAAGATTCTAATTCTTGTTATTGTTCTTGTTATTGCAGACTGAAAGGATAACGGTTAGTAGTTAAAGAGAAGTTATTTATTTAATATGGCATCAAGAGGTTTTTTTCATCAAGCTAATTCATTCTGCCACTTGTGCGGATAGTTCATAAAGATAAGAGCGAAAAGGTTTTCAGTTTTATAATGTGCGAGGTCAACAAGGCATACTTTGGCGTGCCAGTTTGAGACCAAGACAAATCTTGGGCACTGCATTTCACATGCAATATTGGAAGAAAGCATTTGAAGGTAAACTGAACAGTGGTTTCTCGCTTAAATGTGTTTTAAATTATTGTCATAAAATTTCAATGTTTTAGATCAGGTTTATTTCAAGGAGTTATAACTTACTAAGTTTTGTTATAAGTCGTGTATAGTAGACAAATACGCTTTTCTTTTATTAGAGTTTAAATTTTGTAAATATTTTTTTTTTACATTTGTAATAAAAAAAATATTTTCATCGCAGAAAAAGACTATTACACCTCTCTTTAGAAGACTACCATCATTACTTTGGTGTAAAAGTAGGGGACCATGGAAACTCATTGGCTCCATATATATGTTGTAAATTTAATTCGGTTATACTCGGTTACGAAATGGTTATTCGGTTACGGAACGGTTTAAAAATCATAAGCATCTTTAGCTTTTGCTGTTCTAATGGTTTGAAGGGAGACTCCATCTTGAAATCGCTTCATACTTTTAATATTTCTGTCCTCAAATTATTATAGTTCTTATGTATTATTATGTACAATGTTACAGATTGGTACAAAGGAGAGCAGCGAGCCATGATGTTTGTCATTTTTTAACATACTTTATAATTAAGCAATTGAAATATACCACTAAGAAGCCAGCAACAAAACTTTTGATAATACTATGTGTTACATAGTGTTATCAAAAGAAAAAAAAACAGACAAGCTAAGTGCTATATAATTCTATGATGCCTTATTTTTAAATGAATTAATATTGTAAGGAGCCTTATTTTTAAATGAATTAATATTGTAAGGCTATTAATATTGTAAGGAGTTAAAACTAGACAATTGTAGATGTCTAGTTATAAAACTAACGTACGTACGCTCTACGTCAAACATGTTCACACAAGTCTATGGCTACGCTTCATTACTGCATACAAACTTAACCGTGCGATAAAAAACGTTTATTAAGTTATTAATTTATTTAATGCCAGTTTTTTTTAACGTAAGAATACTCACTTTACGTGAAAAAATAAAATTTATACTTTTTATTTTTTATTTTTATCATATTATAGTGCTTATAAACCAAATAACGTTAAAAAGTCTAAAACAATGTGAAAATTTTTTTTTCTTCACTTTCCAACATCAAGTACTAAAAAATTTAATAAAAATTTTTATTCTTACTTAAATTGTAAAATATTTTTCTTTACATATTTAAAAAACGAGTTTTTTTTAATATTTTTAAGTCCTTAAAAAAACATATTTAATTAGAGGCGCAACATTTTTTTTTTTTTTAAATGGTAAATGGTAATTTTTTGTTTTATGTTTACATTTTAATGGTTATACACGCCTGCTGATGAACGTCGGGGTACACTAATAAGGCAAATATTGTCTTCTTTGAGCCCCGGTCATGTAGTTTTTATTTATATAACACGGCATTGTATTCTTTTTTTAATGACAAATAAATAATAAATAAATAACAAAAAATAGTGGGTGTGGGGGATGTGTGTGTGTGTCTATCGCCATGCATTAGTCCAATTCTTTCTAACTTTTTAACAAATCCAGCAAATCTTCATATTTATTCATTATTATTATTATTATTATTATTATTATTATTATTATTATTATTATTATTATTATTATTATTACTATTGTTCTACATTTTTAATGATCTTCTCTATATTAAGCTCTTTAAGATTGACTACTTTTGCTGTTCATTTTGTTTTTAAATACTTTTTTGTTTTAAGTATAAAAACTTTTGTCCTAAACAAAACAAAAGTTTGAAACTTTTTTTTCCTGAAGTATTCTTTAAGAATATAAAATTTAATTCTCATCCTCATGTAAGGATTCAACATTTTCTTTCTTTCTATCTTATATGCATATATCATATTTAACTCGAGTAAAAAAAAAAACATAATTCGAGTAAAAAAAAAAACTGATAAGAAAATGATAAAGAATTTATCATTCATTGATTTGCTATTCTGATTCACATTCCATATTCAGTTAAGTTACAAAATTTCAGTTAAAAAAAAATCAAATGCTTTCATAAATAAATAATTTAGCTGAATAGTTATCCTTGCATGCAGCATTTTAGATAAATAAATAAATTTGAAAAAAGAAGGAACCATAATGAAAACAGCATGGTACATGCTGTGGAAATTGTCCTATGATGTTAAACTATAAATTGTTCTTTAGAAATACGATTCTTACTGTCAAAAGTATGGATGATTTTTAAAACATGAAAAGTTTATACAAGTAATTACATGAAATAAAGAAAAATGGAAATATTGGAAACAATTTTATGTTTATTTCTTCTTTGGTTTCCTGGATCATCGGTATATGGTAGGTGTCATTTTAGTAAATTTGTTACTGAACAATTAATTGTTAAAATCGATATAAAATCGATATATAATCGATATAATAATTGTTCAAAAAAGTAATGGTTCCTAAGATTTCCTTATTTTATTATTATTATTTTTTTTTATAAGTCTGAATATTTATTACCAAACAAGCTAATAAAGCAATTCAGACAATTGGCACATTTTATAATTATATGATTACGCACTTTGCAGCGTGATCCATCTCTTTAAACCCACTTGATTCGCTTGTTGCATTAAATTAATGCTTTTTGCAGTTTAAAAAAAAAAGAATTACGAAGTTTTTTAAACACTTTAACTTTAATTAATAACAATTGTAACTTTAATTAATTAATTTAATTTCATTAAATTTAAATTGTAAAGCAAAATTGTTTAATTATTTCCAAAATATAATTGATTTAAATTATATAATATATTCAACATTTAATACAATTGATCTCTAACTTATAGTAACTATAAAAAAAAGTTATTTGAAAATAAACAAACAAAGTTCCTCATTTCACTAAACAATAATCTAAAGAAATCTAAAGTCTTTAATAGGTAACCTGTAACAAAGTGATGCACTTTATTGAACAATGTTTATATCTTAGAAAGAATTTTTTTGCACAGCAGGATAGTAGCCCATCCCTAATGTTCAAGGCTGCGAAGTCCAATCATTTTTCATGGAGTCCGGGGTCAAAATATATGGACTCCTGACTCTAGACTCCAAATTTTTTTTTTCAATAATTTTTTGAGTCAATTAACAAAGAATTTTAGGTATGAAATAGTCCCTGAATTGCTACAGTAAACTATATAAAGCTTCAATTATACTGTAAAAAATATAATTTACTATTGACTAAACTTCTTTGCTCAAAAAATAACTAATTCTTTTTGGTTGAATATTCCACTTATTTATTTTAGTTTTTAAGGATTTGTAAATTTAATGATAACATAATGATAATAAAAAATTAACTTGTATAATTGTACATGCTTTTAATTTAAAAATATGCATGTTTATAGGGGAGGCTATGCCCCGGGCGTCACGCCCCGTCCTGTCGATTGGATAAACCCTACTTTATCTATACTTTCCATTTACAACGCTAATCCAACGTTGTTACAACCTAAATAACAACGTTACTTAACCCTGTTCCAACATTGGTGTGCCCACTGGTTAGGCTTTGTAAAGTGTTTTGTTTTAATTGTTTTCAATTTAAGATAGTAGACACAATTCTATTTATTTCACCATGGAACTAAAAGTGAATTTGAAAATATCCTCCAATGTGCCCTAATTTCCATTATTTTAAATGATGAAAAGTTTCCTTTTTTTTTCCAAGTTTTCCAAAGGTATTTTATTTAAGGTAGATTGTTATTTCTCTATTATAATTAGCTATTAATATAGTTTATTGTCTACTAATGTATCGGATGTTGTAGTTACATTTATTTGTTTATTTATTAAAGGAGTTGCTCTATTTTTAAATAAGTTCTTTTAACGCTCCACTCTATGCTTCAAAACAATCTAAATTTAAATCAGATATTGTGCCGTTTAATTTCTTTTCATGGAAATAGTTTCTAATATTATACAAAAATTTAAAATTGAAAAACATTAAAAACAACTTAAAATTTAATTACGCCTGAAAGTGGGTATTTTTAATTAGTTTTTTTTCGATAAATTTTTAATCATTAAAACCAATCATTTGAGGGAGAGGATTAAAAACTTTACACTGCAATAAAATTTTATTTGGACATGATTTTATAATTTATATGAAAACAACAAATATGATAATAAAAGCTGCGGTTCAGTAAAATCAATTAAACACGCATTTTATGAATGCATATCTTATTTAAATACATTTTGCATATTGAATGCATATTTTATATTATACATTTTGATATATAACAGTAAGTCTATTTTTTTAATAAAATATATATATATACATATTTATTTTTATCAAAAAATTTAGTTCTTAAAGTTGCTAAGTCAAAAGTTTGGGTGAATTAGAAAAAGCAATTGCTTTTACTCAGTAATTGTTCAGCTTTACATGAATAAAAGCTTACGCAAAATTTGTGAAATTTTTATTTACGTAAAGCTGACCAGTTACCGAGTAAAAGCAATTGCTTTTTTTTATCCACCCGGCCAAAAGTGTCTATCGGTAAGCACAATCAATTAGCTCTTTACTTTATTAAACCAAACTGTTGAAAAAAAAATTAATACTAAAAACTAATTGAATGTTTTTTATTGGCAAGTATGGGGTAACTTGATACAGCATTTGTGAGGGGTCCAAAAACTATAGAATAGTATTTGGCATAAACATTCTTTAAAATTGTGGCATAAACATTCTTGAAATTCGTTGTAGCATAAACATTCTTGAAAAACTTTTACTTTTAACATTTACAGTCAACATTTAAAAGGTTTATGTAAGTGTAGTACTAGGAGATCCAATTTTGATACAAAGCAATTATTTATTGATGCTTACGAATGAAATTTAAAATGATCTGTTATTTGCATTTCAGATATGTGATTTGGACCGTTGGATGCATTATTTGGGTTTTAATTACTATTTTAATATTTTTATATTTTTTCAAATAAAAATCTCTAAGCTTTATACTACGTAATTACTTTTCTAATGGTGTTCATAAGTTTTATCAAGGTACCTCGTGAATGGGGGTACCCCATGAATGGGGGTAACCTTGATACACAATTATAACTTGTTATATCTTAATAACTAATGAATTTAAATTTGTTGCTATAAGTTTTATCTATAAATTGCACCAATCACCTAAAACAAAGGGTTAAAAAAATAGTTACAAAGCAAAGGCCAAAAGTGTATTACGGTGCCCCACACTTCCCTATAACTTATTATATAAGTATAAAACTTTTAATAATATGTTAAAGGGAAAAATAAATTGTTTTAAGTATGGTTTGAGCCTTTGACCATATAAACTGAGTTTATATGGTCGAAGGTTTGAGCCTTCAGATGATAAAAGCGCGTGCGCATCTCCAATTATTATTTTTTTATATAACATTACATTTTGTTAACTTTGTTATTTTAAAACAATATAACAAATAAAAAAGAATGAATTAAAATACAATAAAGTCCTATACATTCTTTATTTTGTCAAAAGATAAAAAGTGAAACTTCATTTTCAGAAGGATTTCTTACAATACAATGAACGTTAAATTAGGAGTTTTTCTACAATTGTAACTAATTTATATTTATATATGCTGTAAATAATTTTTATTAAATATTTAAGTAACTACGCAAATAATACCTTATACTACTTTCTTACAGCAGCAACAAGTTTCTACTCTATTCAACCAAACTGTGGAAGCTATGCAGGGGGTACTACAATCAAACTTTACGGCAAAGGTACTTAGTTTTTAAATTTAACATTTTATTATTTAAACATTCCATCATTTTTTTTTAAAGAATTTTTACTACAGCCAACGAATCTTTTTTTTTTTTTTTTTTTTTTTCAGTTTACAATTATTAATCGTAATATAACAATATAACAATATATAAACTTGGTATCTGAAAGAAGATCCAAATGATCTTGTCGCCAGAACCATATAAAAGATATAATACGTGTATATATAATAAAATAAAATACAATTGATCAAATAACTAATAACAATGTAGAAAAAACAAAAACTGAAAATAATTTTACAAATTATCCAGAGTAAAAAAAAAAGAATTTTACATTTCAAAAATATTTATATATATTGCCAGTAGAAAGAATATAGTTTTTTAATTTAGTTTTAAAAACGGAAAACGAAATGGACAAATCAAAATTTGAAACAACAATTTTGTTCCATAAATACGGTGCTCTATAGTTTATGCAAAATTGATTAAACTTTGTTTGACAAAAGGGTTCAATTAATAAATTACTATTTCGTAAAGCATATTTGTTTATAGCTTTATAAGTAAAAAGATCTTTGAAATTGAACAATGGTCGTTCACTTTTACAACGAAACATAAAACATAAAATATTATAGACATTGAGTTCGTAAACGTTAAGTGCTTTAACGTTTTTAAATAAAATATTTGAATGAGAAAAACGATTTTCGAAACATATTAAACGCATTGCGTGTTTCTGACGATGGTAAAGACTTCGTAACTTACTTTTAGAGGTACTTCCCCAAACAATATTTGCATAATTTATATAGCTATGAATAAACGAGTAGTAGAGTTGAATTAAATTTTGTTTACTTAGATAGTATCTGACCTTATATAGAATTCCAATACTTTTAGCCAATTTAGTAGAAATATAGTCGATATGATACTTCCATGTAATATTTTCATCAATGTAAATGCCTAAAAATCTTGTGACCGACTCCTTTTTTATTTCAATTTTATCAATAAAAAGTTTAGGCAATTTATTTGGTAAAAAACGCTTTTTAGCAAGAGAGTGGAAAAGGATCCACTTTGTTTTGTCAATGTTTAAAGTTAACTTGTTGCACTTAAACCAGTTGGAGATCTGATTGAGTTCATTATTCATATTTGAAAAAAGCTCATAAATGCTACTGTTTGACAGAAATAAATTAGTATCGTCCGCAAAATTTATACTCATAAGGTTAGAAGCTTTATTTAAATCATTTATATAAACTAAAAACAAAAGTGGGCCTAGAATAGAACCCTGTGGAACACCAGATTTTATGTCAATTAATTTTTCATTTTTAAAATAATCTCCATAGAAAACAAATTGTTTTCTATTTTCCAAGTAACTTTGATACCATTTTATTAATTTGCCATTAATTCCGTAAAATTTGAGTTTTTTAAGTAGAATTTTGTGATCGACCGTGTCGAATGCTTTTGATAGGTCAATGAAAATACCTAATGTATATTGTGATCTACCAAATGAATCGGAGATTTCACGAATGAACTGTGTAATGGCTTGTTCAGTTGAACAATTTTTTTTAAAACCGAATTGATTTTTATATAGAAGTTTATTTAGATTAAGGTAATTGTATGTTCTATTGTATATAATTCTTTCTAAAATTTTTGAGAAAGTTGAAAGAACTGAGATAGGGCGATAATTACTAATATTTGATTTTTTTCCGTTTTTGTATATAGGAGTTACTTTAGCTATTTTTAATTGGTCAGGGAATACACCTTGCTGTATAGATGCCCTAAAGACTTTATAAAGAATACACTTTAAGTTTTCAAAGCAATCTATGACTATGTTGCCATTTATTTCGTCCGTACCCGTAGCTTTGTTTCTTTTGAGAGATTTGTAAGCTCTCTCAAACTCATCAAAAGATAAGTCAGAATGTAAATTATCTATAAAAAGCGAATTATTTATAGGCTCTAGGAAATCACTAAAATTTTTTTCTGTAATAGGGATCTTGTTTGCCAATTTGGTTTCTACGTCAATGAAATATTTATTAAACTCGTTTGCAATTTCGTTTGGTTCATATATACTTGTTTTATTTATTTTAATTACTTTAGGAAGGGAGTTTGAAATTGTTTTTTGTTTTCTTGTTATTTCTTTCAACGTTCTCCAAGTATTTTTTGAGTCGTTTTTAAATTTACTAATTAAATTCGAATTATAATTTTTTTTTTAATTTTTTTCGAATTTTTTCAAATAAATGTTGGTATTTTTTATATATTTGTTGGTTTTCATTTGATTTTGTTTTTAGATATTTTATATATAGTTTCTGTTTTATTTTAGAGGATTTTCTAAGTCCTTTAAATCTCAATTTTTACGTTACAAATAAGTTGCATTAAAAAGTATTAGATAAAGCAAAGTTTTTTGCTTAAAATAATTAGTAAAATTTTTTTGTAAATGAGCTAAAACTTTCATTGAAGTTTATGTATAACGGGTGATGCGTAAGTTATTGGACATAATAATAAAATAATATTTTTCTTTGACGCTTTTCATAAGGAACTGTAAAAAATTTGAATCGATTTCTTGTAGTTTTAATTTAATTCAATCAATCAAAGCTTCCTTTGCTGAAGCTTGCCAATCTCCCTCGTAAACCATCTGTGCCAAATGTCTCCAAAAGTTTTCAATGGGTCGTTCTTGAGGCACATATGGGGGGATTGGATTCTTTATCAACATAATAGATGTATTGGTCCATCTAATTTAAAGAATCTTTAGAATAATGAGAACTTGCTAAATCTAGCCAAAATAAGTAATTACCCAGTGGGCACCGGATCAAAAAAAGACGTTTTTTGAACGTTCAAAAGACGTCCAAAACGTTCAAAAGACGTTCAAAAGACGTCCAAAATGTGTATAAGACGTTTAAAAAAGGTCTTTTTTACGTCCGTGTCCACTGGGTAAAGTCTCCATGATACTTGTGATTGAATAGAAGAAGTCTTTTCTACATTTATCAATATAGATCGATGAATTAATTGCTACAGCCTTGGAAGTGTGAAACAATGGCTAGGACATACCAAGGTTAGATATGGCTATCCACATTAATAATTATTTTAGAAAATTCTCTTCTCCTATAATTCTCCTAAAACGAACACTTTCTGGGCATGCTTTTTTGTTGTTTGTGTAGTATCCAGAATTTCCAGGTATACTGTTCCCTGCAAAACAAAAGTATTTTTCGTCATTGATGACCAGATGCAGTTTTGTGATATAGAATCGGTTAACTAGTTTCTTGTTTCTTTTCTTTGCCTTTTATTGTTCTATACTGTATTTTGGAGTCTTTTCACGTTTTCCATATTTAATATTCTTTATTTTAACTGACAGAAAAATGTTTTTATTATAAAATAAAAACTTTATTATTTGAAACACAATTAAATAATTGTGTTTCAAATAATAAAGTTTTTATTTTATAGAACTTTATGTCTACGCATAAAACCACAAAAACAAATTATTATACTCAAATAATTAAACTCAGATTTATCCGATAACTTCCGCAATATATATATATATATCTTAAGTTAAATTATTTCTTATTTATGATATAATTCCTGACATCTTATTTTGTAGTGTTTTGATTGTTATAGTTGTCCTGCTACTGGTATCCAGTACAATCTGCTAAATATCCTGTTGCAGTGTAAGGTTCGCTTTTTTAAGCAAAGTTCAGGTAAAGTTAACTCTGATTTAAAATACTCTCATGGGATGTTTCTATGTAAATACTCATCTTGCATTAAGCTACGGTCTTGTAGAAAATTTTCAAGGCAAAGGCAAAAATGAAAGCAGAGAGAAAGACGCAAAAAATCTATATTTTCTAACCTTCCATTCTTTCTTCATCTAATAGTCTGGCGTATAAGTGTAAACCTTTGTTATATTGTTTCTTGTCTAGAATAAAGGATCCCGGCTCTTCTAGTCTCTACTATGGCTTTTTAACAAGTAAGTTCAAAATACTGATGTTGTTGACATGACCAAAACAAGCGTTGAATATACTTTTTGAATCTGAAGCCGACGCATTAACCATTGTGTTCAGTGATTAAGAAACACTTAAAGTTTGTCCAAAATACAATTTTTTGAGTAGCGCAATTTAAATAATGTATTAGCTAACTATTTTCTACAGTTTCTTATGATTCTAACGGGTCAAAAAAAAAATGTTGAAATCAGCAGCGATTTAAGACTCTAACTAACTTATCTCCATTTTTTTTATTAACTTATCGTACAAGTTGTGCCAATGTTTTCCAGTAATTTCTTTTATTTCCAGCGAGCAAAAGGCGTTTGTTAAACGTCTTACGGACTTGCGACGTTCATAAGACGTTATATAGAATTTACAGACGTCTGCACCCACTGGGTTATTTTCCAAAGATGCTTTGAATTATGATCGTGTTAGCTTCCACCTAAAGCATCAACAAAAGTAAAGACAATGGTCAAGTATTACTTTAGATCACGGTAGCTTTCGTACGAAACAAGTACCAAAGGTGTTTAAAATACCTACTAAAATTTATCAAGTTAAAAAGCGTAATTTTCTTATATTTTTCTTCGGTCATCAATTGCCTGAGATGTTTAAACTTCAAAAATAGTAGCTATACTTATGTTATAGCATAAAAGTAGAATTTGTTCTATAAGAAATTTGTTTATGAAAAGCCTAAAACAAGAAAGCCCAAAATCTCAAACAACCTTTAATACTAAATTACTTTTCAATAAAAAGTTTATTTTATTAAGAGTTTGAGGAATATTTCCTAATTTTTGACTTACACATCTCATCAACATAGCTTGAAATTAAAAAGCATTATCTACAAGCGAGAAGAACAGTTTAAATGATTACTTTATTTGAACGCGCGATTAAATAAATTGAAATTAAATACTGGTTTAAACCATTGAAATACGTATATTTTAATAACAAACTTAAGAAACTCTAAGAAACTTTAAATACTAGATTGGGAAAAAAAAAAGAGAGAAATTTTATAGTACTATTCAATAAATTTTATAGTACTATAAAACAGCG